CTTGGTCTAGGTGACCATCGGATCTCCAAGTTTTAGTGGAGTTTTATGTTGATTTAACGTAGCAAAAAAAATGATTTCTCTGTCACATAACAGCCTCATGCAGGAGTTCTTGGTCAGCAGGTGGGTCTCTTCCACATGGTGACTCAGGGATGTAGGCCTTGTGCTACCACAATTTCCTAGGGCTACAAGTACTCTGTCTGCAGCTGGTGGAAGGGAAGAGAGAGTGGGGAAAAGGCATGTCTACTTCTGAGATGCCTTGGCTTGGAAATGATGTGTGGTGCTGCCTCTCATATATCATGGGTGAGAATTCACCATATTTTCCTGGTCACAGGCAAAGGGGGCTGGGAAGTATAGCCCAGGATGAGCCTACACTAGATGGAAGGGAACATCTGGAACTTGGGGAATATATGGAATTTTGGCTACTGGTTCTGCTAATGTACTTCACTGGGATCATCTTTGGATGCTACTTAGGCATGTAAGAGAGGTACCTAACCTAGATATCACTTCTTCCTTCCTTCCCCTCTCTTCCTGAGCTTGATTTCAGCTCTCCAACCTGACCCCCACCACCACTTCACACACACACACACACCATGGCACATTCTCTTGCCTCCCTTGGAACATTTCTTCCACTCCACCCCTTCCTCTGGTTGACTGAGTATTTCATCAAGGACAAAAGTCAAAGGCATTTTCTAGGAGGCTTTTCCTGAACCCATAAATCCAAGTATGTGTTCTGCCTCTCTATGAAGGCAAAGCAAGATTTTAATCTATTGGGGTTTGAGAGCCCACAGGAAGGTACTTCTGCTAATCAAATGGGAATTTCATGTTCTAAAGTTTACATGTTAGCATTTAGAGAGCATAGAGAGGCAAGGGGCCACAAGAACTGGGGGAGTAAGGAAGGGGTCTTTGCACCTTCCAGTAGCTAGAAGGAGAGCAATCCAGCCCTTTGCATGTGGAGAGGCGGCCTGGGGGCCCCAGGCCACTACAATTCAGGAGCCTACACTTCCATCAGAGAATAATCGAGGCAATTTTCCACATGCTGGTTAAGGAATGAAATATCCAAATGGGGGCAGATGCTTTCCTTGGCCACAGTGTCCTCTTCATCCAGGGAAGAGAAGGAGATGGTTATCCAGCCAACCTTGGACTTAGAGCTGAAGCTGGAGGACAGAGTGTGGAATCCTCCAGGGTCAGAGCAATCATGGAATGCACCTTCCTATTCCAACAGGGTCTTATAAAGGAGCATCAGGTTTTAATTTTAGGGTATAAGAAATGAGCAGGTTTCTCCTGCAGCTGAATTTATCTCCTTATTCAAAAAATATTTTCTTACTAATTATTTTTAATGATCTCCAGGAAAAGTACCTGGTGTGATTATTTTGACAAGTTCATACATGCAAGAGGCCTGTTGACCTGCATTTACGAGGTGATGACTGCTTCTTCTGTTTAGGTTACCATTAGAGTCACCCAAAAATAGACCAGTGAACTGGGTACTCAGGAAAAAACTTAGTAGGATGGATGAGGAAGAAGACCATGTGAAGCCCATGGGCTCTCTGCAGGACATTACCCATTTCTTCTTCCCCACTGAAGCAGGGGCTGGGCTAATAAGAAAATCATTTTGCCATGAAAATAAACAGAGATGCAAATTGAAGACAAAGTATCCAAGATAAGGGATTCATTTTAAAGGTCAGTGGATCCCTTCTCAATCGGTAGCCTTTTAGGAGCCTTCAGTCTCTCAGGCACCCGAGTATTTCTTGTGATCTCTGAGCCCAAACCCAGACATGCATCCTTTCAGTCACCTAATAGTGATAGAGACCTACTGCGTTCCTTCTAGCACTAGGGATTCGGGGGGAGCAGGACACTCAGAACCCCCATCCCTCATGGTGTTCCCATTCCAGGAGGAAGGCACAAGGACAAGTCGATGACAGTACCTGCCTTGTAACTTCAGGAGAGCCAAGTGCTTCTTGAAGAAAAATAGAGCCATTTCAGGGTCAGGGAATGTCTTAGTCAGTTGTTTTTTTTTTCTCTGCTGTGACTAAAGGAGCTGACCAGAACAATGATAGAGGAGGAAAAGGTTGTGAGGGCTCAGGATTTCAGAGGTCTGAGTCCAGTTCCATTCCTCGGGGCTCCAGGTGAGGCTGAACACCATGGCAGGAGAGGGTGGCAGAGGGAAGCGGCTCACGTCACGGTGACCAGGAAGCAGAGAGAAAATCCAGTGGACAGATACAATATAGACCCCAAGTCACGCCCCGATTCCCACCTCCTCCAGCCACACCCTAACATTCAGTTCCCACTCAGTGGGTCCCTATCAGAGGACTAAATCACAGATAGGGTTAAGACTCTTACAACCCAATCATTTCTCCTTGCTCTTGCATTGTCTCACACGTGAGCTTTTTGGGGACACCTCACATGGAAACCATCACAGAGAGTGATGCCCCAGTCTTCACTCATGTGAGTCGGGAGGCTGCTCTGGGACAGTGACGTTTGAGCAGAGGCCTGGACCATGGGATGGAGGTGGTCACTGATTTCAGGGAGGAGGAGCTGCTGAAAGAGGTCCAGCAAGTGCGAGGACCYGATAGGGGTGACAAGCAGGGCCAATGGGAGGGAGAAGGATGTGCCTTTACAGGATCGGTAGTCCTCCCCGTCACCACCGCTGTCCTCCCCGCCACTGCAGGAGTCCTCCCTGTCATGGCTCCTCTCTGAAGGCCAGTGATGGCATCGGTGACCCCAGATCCAGAAGGCAGGAGACAGTGGGGCTGGGGCTACTTGAGAACTGATGCTGACCTCTGCTCCAGGAGGTGGAAGGAGGCGTGTGGAGAGAGCGGAGTTCCTTGACAGATTAATTCTTTTCTTTAGTCTACACATGCGACCCTGGAGGTCTGATGTCCGGACTTTACACTTTGATATAAAGGGACGAATTGATAGTGATAGTCACTACCCTGTTTAGAGAAGTCCACTTGGAAATTGGTAGAGCATCAAACTGCTTCTTTCTGTTCCTCCAATCATGGCGCCATGCACCCTCAGGCAAGCCCTTGGCCCCTGAGGGTGTTCTGACTTTCAGCAGAGAACTCTGGTCTCAGGTCCCCCTCACCCTTGACCATTGCCTGAAAACTCCTCTGATCTTTCCAGTTAACAGCCGCTCTGTTGCTAATAAATCCTGTGCAATCTTCTGCCTTCATTGAGTTTTATGACATATTTGCATGTCAGGATCATTTTGGGTTTTGGAGTTTGGGTCTCCTGCTGTTCCTAATGTCATAAGTGGTTAGTGATAACCCAGGCGGGGGTTATGTTCTGGGCTTATGAGTAGATGGACTTTAAAAAACATCAATCTTATTTGCAGGCAAATATGGCTAATGATAGACTGGGGAAAACAAAATAATTCTAATTCTGCAGTGAATGCTTGGTTGTTTCCAGAGTGCCTGCTTTTTAATGGAGTGCAGTAGAGAATGAAGGACGAGAGGGAAAGGATAGAAATAGCTAGAGAAAAAGGTAGAAAGTGGTAGGTGTTTCTTTTTATTTATTTATCTATTTATTTATTTTTGTTGTTGTTGCTGTTCTAATAACAATGAAAACAGAGCGACCAAAGCGAAGGACCAGCATTGGCCCACCCCTGTGTGGGACTAGGGCTGGACCCAGGGCTCCTATCTGCCTGTGGCTTACCTCTACTGCAGGGGTTCTTCACTGGGCTGATTTTGTCACTGAGTGTGCTGGAGACACCTCGTGAGTGAACACGCTGCTTAATATCCAGCCATGCACAAACAGCCTGCCTTGACAACAAGTGACCAGCCTCTAAAGTCAAGGCTGAGCCGCAGCTCACTGGCTTCTCCTGTTCTGCCTGACCTCCTGTGGGGACTGACTCTCCTTGCCCAGGGGTTCTCTTATCTCTAAGTGAAGGCCTAGAGGGGCCTAGAAATGATCTAACCCTGATCCAACTTTTACAGGTGGGACTTCAGACAGATTGTGACATTCCTAAGTTTACACAGCTCTTTAGTAATAGAGGTGGGATCAATTAACAGGAAAAAAAATTGGAAAGAGCTTTTGCAAAATAAGAGGGTTTTGTCAGGTTTTTTATTTTTGTGTGTGTGTGTGTGTTCTACTTTTGGATTATCACTTTGTTCATTCAGTAATATTTGGTTGGGCGTCTATTATATAATTGGCACTCTGCTCTCATTCATCACCTGAATAAACATGCAGACTGCTTAAAATGGGTAATGAAATAATAATAATGCTAATAATAACATTGAAAACATTTATTGAAAGTTTATTCTGGCTGGGCGCAGTGGTGCTGTAATCCCAGCGCTCGGAAGGCTGAGGCAGGAGGATTGCGAGTTCAAAGCCAGCTTCAGCAGAGGCGGGGTTCTGAGCAACTCAGTAAGACCCTGTCTCTAAATAAAATAAAAATAGGGCTAGGGATGTGGCTCAGTGGCTGAGTGCACCTGAGTTTAATTCCTAGTACCCCCTCCCCCCAAAAAAGAAAGTTTGTTCTGGGTCAGCATTATAATAAATCCTTTTAAAACTCCTTTTTCTCATGGAATCTTCTTCACAACCCTGAAAGCAGGTATATTTTATCCCCATTTTATAGGTGACAATGTTAAAGCTGGAGGACATAAGGAAGTAGCAGGGCTAGGAATTCCAGCTTTGTTCTACTGGATTCCAGAGCCTTCCTCTTTTCCTGCATGATTATTAGATATTTCAGGGTTGCTGTAGGTGGGGACTATTTTTTTTAAGGAGTTTTGGTTTATTTTTATAGTGCTGAAGATGGAACCTAGGGCCTCACACATGCTAAGCAAGTGTTCTACCATGACATCCCCAGTCCCTTTAGAGTATTTTGACCAAAACTCAAAGAGAAGAAATGCAGTTATTCCGCTGGTTTCCATCACACCAGCCATCAAAGGGTTTTTGCTAGTTTTTTGATTGCTGTTGTTTTAGAATTTTCAAAGCATACTAGGACTTTTTTTTTTTTTTTAGTTGTAGTTGGACACAATACCTTTATTTTATTTATTTTGATGTGGTGCTGCTGAGGATCGAACCCAGGACCTCGCACGTGTGAGGCGAGCGCTTTACCATTGAGCCACAACCCCAGTTCCTATACTAGGACTTTTAATACTTTGTAAAATACTGTGTGTGTGTGTGTGTGTGTGTGTGTGTGTGTGTGTGTGTGTTTTGCTACTATGTCAGGGAGGGGGCTAAATACTGGGGATTCAGCAATGAACAAAATACTTGTCTTAGTTTGAGTCCCTGCAAAGCAGACCCTGGCCAGGGATTGATGCAGACACTGTGATACGGAATGGGGAGGTGGGGGAAGAAGGGACGAAGCTGATAAGGCACTGCTGATGAGATGATGCAAGTCAGCCAGGGTGCCTCCCTCTGTGGATCTAGGAGACTGTGGGGCCCACACCTCAGAATGGCCTAAGATTTGTGGTCTCTGGTTATCCAGCCACAGGCTCCCTGCTGTTCCTTCATGGCATGCACATTGCTTCTGAGGACATTCATTCCCTGGCACCTCCCCAGCCAGAGACCATCCCCAGGCAGAGACAGAAGAACCTCAGATCAAGTTTGAGAAGTGTCCTTAGGAGATCTCCAGGGAGGGTGACTAGGACCACCACGCCTGTCACTGTCCAGCTCCCGCCCTTGAGGAACTCTCAGTCCTGTGGGGCAGGAAGACTACCAGAATTCACAGTACAGTAGGACCATGGGAAGGTGAGCCCCGGGAATGAAGAAGAACAACACAAGGAGATGCCTTCATCAGGGGACATTAAGAAGCTTCCAGAGGAGGTGACATTGAAGTCTAAGCATAGATTAAAAATAGCCCCATCACTGACGTCTTCCTTATTCTCATCACTAGGACACAACATCGAACACTGTGGAGTGCTGCCCTTGTTGCCTGAGCGCATTTAGTTCTTTCCCGCGCATTGTCATGCCAGGATACCCTTGTGATCAGCATCAGGACTAGGAACCTGGCATGCTGTGCTCACAGCATGGCACCTCTCTGACATTGTCCTTGAAGTCGTGTAGCGAAGAGCGTGGTGCCAGCCCCGTGGCCCTGCCTGTCCTCTAGAGCCAACGCTTCTTCAGATCCAGATCTTCATGGTTATCAGTGTGAAACCTGGGCAAGGGGCCGACCTGGGGGAGCCTGAGCTTTGTGATGGCTGTCAGAGGACTGGCCCCCATGGCCTATGCTAATGCTTCTCTGTTCAAAATCTAGAAGCACAGAAATATGCATGCATGCAGATCACACGGAGAGCTTGTTAAAATACATTCCTCAGGCCACCTCCAGGGGTTGTGGTTCAATAGCTGCTGGGCTTCAGGATAACTCCTTCTCTCCTGGCTGTGTCCACCTGCATCAGGGTTGCTCAGCCTGGGTATTTTTGTTATCTGGGGCTGAATAATCGTTTGTTATGGGCTGCCTGTGCCTTTAGTCACATCCCTGGGCTCAACCCAGTAGATACTAGCAGCACCTTCTATAATGACAACCGAAGATGTCAGCTGCCACCTGCCCCCTAGGAGGCCAAACCTGACCCCTGACCTAGATGTTCTAGAAGACTGCTTTCCAGACCTCTGAGTACATGTGAATCAGTAAGGGGATTTGTTGAAATGCCCATTCAGCAGGTCTGGGGAGGGGCCTGAGTCTATTTCTGTTGCCTTCCAGGTAATGCTGATGCTGCCAGTGGGTGGATACTTTGAGCAGGCACAGTCCACCCTCCAGTGAGTGGAGAAATTTGGTTGGACTCAAGTCACGAAGTTGTCCCTGCAAGTGCTGGTAACTGGGTCAGTCCCTCTGGTTACCTCTGAGTCCCAAGGTTGATTAAGTCTCTGGCTGCTGCTTCCCCTCCCTTCCCCTCCCCTACCAGGCCCTCCTCCAGCTGTGTTCCTGCCCTGCTTGTCCAGGGAGGAGTGATCCTTCCTCTGGGAGAGACAGCAAACCTGTTTTCCCTTGATAGGTACACAGATCTCACCAGGACATTCTCGGTCCCCAGAGAGCCCACTTAAACTTTTGAGTCTTGCATTTTTTTTTTTAAATGAGTGCTAAAGGTGGAAAATAAAAGGAAGGAGACTTGAAGGTCAGAAGCCCAGATGTGCCAGCCTGAAACTCTGGAGGTCTTAGGGAGTCTCTGGGGACCTGAGGCGGGGGTGATTCTCACAGCCAAAGCAGAAGCTGCAATTATGGAACAGAACCAGGAAGGCCTGAGGCAGATGGGGCTGGAGGTGGGGCTCCCTTTACACATCACTAAACCCCAGGAGTTACTCTAGTAATGAAACTCTTCTTTGCAGACTTCTAGAAATGCTGTCACTTTGCCCATTGTTATTTTTAGCCCTTGTCTGTTTCCTATTGTTAGGAACAGTAAAAATTCTTAGGAGACCTTTTCTGCCAGTGCTTTGGTGAGAAGGTTTGAGATAGTGAGGTGAAAGAAAAGTGGCTACTCTCTGGCAAAGTCCCCCAAAGAAGGTATTCTGGTGAGGGGAGAGGAGAAGGAGCAGCAGGTCTCTGCAGGCGAGTGCTGGGGTTCCCCATGGGACATCTCAAGTGGAATAAAGTCTCTGAGGTGTGGCCACTGTTTCAGTAGGGTCCTTAGGACAGGCCTGTGCTCTCTACAGGACAGGGTGTGTTGGGGGTGGAGGGAAAGCATTCCAGTTTCTAAAATGCAAACTGCTGCATTGAGGACTCCCACTGGCTGGACCTGGGACACTGTGTTTGACGAGCCCTACGCTTAACAACAGAATATGACCCCTTGGTTTTCCAGTAGGAAGGATGTGCACATAAGGTGAGTTCTGTGAAGATTTATGTGGGATAGAGAGCAGGGAGGTCAGGCAGTGTTAGGGACTGAATTTTGTGTCCTCCAAAATTCATATTGAACCCTAATCTCCAATATGAGGGTTTTTGGAGAAAGGGCCATTGGGAGGTGATTAGGACATGGAGGTCGATCCCCCACGATGACATGAGTGCCCATGGAGAGGAACACACCAGAGAGATTGTTTCTTCTCTGTCTCTCTCTCCACCATGTGAAGACATAGGCAAGATCTTGGACTTGCAGCCTCCAGAAGTGTGAGCACCAAACCTCTGTTGTTCAGAAGCCACCTGGTTTATGGCAGTACTTTGACAAAGCAGCTTGAATGGACTAAGACAGTCTAGACAACCACCTAGACTCTCAGGCTTCCAAGTGCTGTCTGTGAACAGATACTTACTCAGGGTGAAAATTTTATTCTAGCAAAAAATGAGGGGAGTAAGGTCAATACAGTGAGTTTTTCTTAAAGCTAAACATATTCATTTTAAAGAATAAGCTTTGTGCTATACATATAGCCTTCCTGCTTTGGAAGAGGTTAAACTGTCTTGTCATTAATGAAAGTATGGTGTTTCTCAATTATATTTATTTATTTGGTATCTTTTACTGGCAAAAAAAAAAGTTTGAAATAGTTTTGTTCCAGCAATAATTTATAAAACTTTTATTGGTCTTTGAAATCCAGATGTCTAGAAACCACTGAATTGCACAGTTAGAAAAGTGGAGGCGAGAAATGGTGATGTCTGTACTTGGCTGGTAGCTGTAGGAGGGGAAGGRATTGAAGGAGGACAGGACAGAGCTCTGTGGCTGGCTTTTTGGATGCCTTTGCATCTGGGCAACTCAGTGACAATGGGAACTTTTACAGAATGCAGAAGTTGGAGAGGGAGCGAGTCTGGGGACAGATGGAATATTTGGAAGTCATAATCATAAAAACATTAATGTCTGCTGTTTGTTGAGGGCACAGTTCTGTGAGCTCCATTCCCATGATTTCATTTAACCCATGTGACAGCCATGTGATGTTGGTACTGATGCTACTTCAAGATTACAAATGCGAGTAGAGAGAGGGGAGAACTGCCCTTTGGCACACAGCAAGCCAGTGTGGAGGATTCAAACGTGGGACATTCGCAGCCTAAGGCCCAAGAAGGCACCAAGGCACTGTTCTGTTGCTCCACCATCTGTGGGGAACCTGGATGCTACGGCCTGAGAGAAGATGATAGAAAGGGAAGGAGTAGAACAGAGATAAAGAGGAATTTGGTCAGGGGACCCAGAAACCCTCAGATCCCATCTCCTACCAGCCAGTCTCCCTGAAAGAAAGGACTGTATGCAGAGGGCTTTGGCTGGCCACTGGGCGCCATTTGTTTCTGGTAGCGTTGGCCCCACATCCCATTGTAGAGTTGTGTCTGGGCTGGAGGTGGACTGAAGCCCGGAAGCTGGTGTCCTCCTTCCTGGCCCCTCCCCCACTTCCCAAGTTCACCCCTGAGGTTTGGCTCTCATCCTCTGATGGGGAGGAAAGGCTGTGCGGGGCATGCCCACCACCAGGAAGAAGCACTGTGGTGTGTGCTAACCTCTGCCTCTGCCTGCATGGGTTCTAATCAAAGGAATCATAATAACAGGATCAATGACTGGGAGCCAGGCATTGTTCCAAGGACTTTATGTGGAATAGAAAATATACTCCAAAAAGGGAACGAGCCAAAAGAACAGTTGTTCCAATTTAGGTGTCCCTTCCACTAAGGCCTTGCCCCCTCGAAACGTGGTCCATTTGGTGGCTTGAATTCTATCCACTTTCTTATGCCTGGAAGAACTTTGAATTCCTTATCTACAAAAAACTTAGGTGAGAAGATATTCTGTGTGTACTCAGCTCATCAAAGGAAAGGAAAATGGCCTGTTATGTGCCAAGTTCACCCTTTGAACAAATGTCAGACTGGCTGTGATTTAGCCTTAAGGATTTTTTATTTCATTTATGAATTTATTCACTTAGCAGGAGCTAATCAATCACTCACTGTAAATTGGTAGCACAGAGGATGGAACAAAAAAAGTCATTCGTAACTCAACCTCCTCGAAAAGTCAGGACCTGGGATCAGTAGAGTGTTCTTGTGTGCACACCAAAGGCCTCAAAGGTCCAGAAGGAGCAGTCTGTGCAGAAGAGGGACCCAGAGAGGTAGGTAGCGTGGACTTGAAACCGACGTGAAGGCCAAATAGATGGGTGTTCAGCTGAGGTCGGGGGCAGCGTGGGACCTGAAATGAAGGTGAGTGGGAGTAAAGAGAAAGGAACTTACAGAGCAATTCAAGTGACTCTTTGAAGG